GCCCCCTGGGCGGAGCAGGGTGCATACCCCAGCTGGCATCTCAGAGAAGCAAACCTCAGGCACCCAGCACAGCTGGGATCAAAGTCACTTTTGATAGGGCGACTTATAATCTGATAGAGCACCTGAATTAACCTGAAAAGTCATCATATTACTTAAATAGAACACGTATACTTCTGTGAATAGGGGCTTCAGTTTCTCTTAAATTCCCTTTTCAAGGCCTGTGCAAAGCGATTGAGAAGGTGACTCAGCTGTGAATCCAGTAAGCCGAACAGATAAGTGGGGTCAGAGAGACCCACCACAATTCAAAACGTCATACCAACCACCTCATCTCATCCCCATCATCTCATCCCCATCATCTCATCCCCATCATCTCATCCCCATCATCTCATCCGCATCATCTCATCCCCATCATCTCATCATGTGATGACTACAATAGCTGAGGTCTGGTGAGCCCCAGGGCTGCACATAGCACCCCAGCCCATCCCCTTTTTAGTCCTGTCCCCTGCACCTTACCAGAAGACAGGATTTGAATGCTTGTAAGCACCCTGTCTTCTTGGTTGGCTGGCCTTCTCAATAAACGCCTCATATGTTCAACCCGGACTTTGTTATTTGACACAGGGACAGGCAACCCCAGCCCAACTAGAGGTTTCCCAGTAAAATGAGGAGGGTTTTGTAAAGGCCCTGAGCTGGGAGGTGAGGAGGGGCCTTCTCAGTCTCGTCTGGTCTGGGCAAGGCAGATGGTGCAGGCACCGCTGGGACCCCATCACGGCTTCCCCGGGCCTCCCTGACCTCCTGAGCCGCCCACTGTGGAGGCCTCACTGGGCAGGTGTGTGACCCAGGCCTCCCCTGCCCCGGCCCTCACTTGGCTTTGGCTCTGTGCTGGGCCACGGCCATCTTCGTGGGCATCAGGAAGTAGACGTCGGTCTCAAAGTCCACCACCGTCTTCTTCTTGGCCTCCTGGGAGGAGTCCTCTGCCCAGGATGCGGTGTAGAGGTCAAAGGTGGCATTGGCACCTCTGGGCCCCTTGGCGATGGTGACCTGGCTGACCAGCTTGAAGAAGTCCTCCCTGCAGGGACCAAGCCGGTAATGGACCCTTTTCCCCGGCCAGTGGGAGGCAACCCCCCATCCCCCTGCCAGGGGCCTGCAGATGGCCCCTACACCTGCTGGCCTCCTCCATTAGCTGATGCCTCCCAAAGAGGTCCCCAGGCACTGCCCTGGGCTCTGTGTCCTACTTACCCCGTGACAGTCAGCAAGTTCACGTTGATGGCTGGCACGTCAACGCTGGCAAAGAGATGTCCGTCCATGTCGTTGGTGCCAGCGATGTAGTCGATGTCGGCCGCGTTGGCGAAAAGGTTGATGGGGTCGTCGGGGATGAAGTCTCCGTCCACGACGGGGATGAGGCCCAAATAGTGTAGGAAGGGGTCTGCATGGAGAGCAGGGGTCCTCACACCTTTCAGAGCCCCCCGGCCAGGCCCTAGGCCCGGGGGCAGCCCTGTCACCTCTGATCCTGACCAGGGTCCTCAGCCTGTCGCCTGACATGGGGCCTGGATAATTCTAAGTCCTGGGCTGCCCTGCGGGTGTGGAGCAGCTTCCCTGACCCCGTCCGGTAGATGTCTCCACTCCCCAGTGTGGAAACCCAGACTGTGTGCAGACTGCCACAGGCTCCCTGGGGCCAAACCATCCCGCTGACAGCCACTGGGCCTGAGGCCCATAAAATTGGGTGCAAATGACTGTTTCTGGCCATTGTTGGGGGGAAAAGGTGCACCAGCTTCCCAAGGGGGTCAGGACCCAGGGAGGCTCAGAGGGAGGGATGGCGCCCTCGGCACAGCCAGTCGAAGCCACGGAGGCAACAAGGGCCCTGGCGGCACCGGGCTCCAAGGGACGCCGGGGAGCGGTTGTCGGGCCAGACAGCAGCCCCTCAATCCTCACATCTTTGGGAGCATGGCCCTCCCCCCATATGGAGTCCCCACTCACACTTCCGGCCCAACAGGGGCATCTTATAGGCCAGCGTCAGGGCCCGGGGGTCGGTGACCTTCAGACACTTGGCCATCCTGGCGGTATCATCCAGGGGGCAGCCCACCTTCTTGGCGATCTGGGGGTTGGGGGGAGACAGGTAGGTGAGGCCAGTGCGGGGCAGACGGCCATGGGGACCGGGACGGGGCATGGACAGGAGGTAACCCTCCCCTCTCCCCCACTGAAGCTCCCCTTTACCCCCTTGGCCCAGGAGAGAGGGTTCTTCTGGATGGCCCAGGGGGTCAGCGCCACGCCGCTCTGGCTGATGGCTCGCCGGATGAGGCCCTTGCTGTAGGGAGAGAGGGTCTGCGACACACAGAGGTCCTGTCACCACGGCCTCGCCTCTGCTGTCCACCCGGGTGCCACCAGGGACAGCCAGTCTGTCAGCTTCAAGCTGTTCCCCCAGCCCCATCAGCTCCCGCCAGCTCCCCTCAACACCTGGGAGGAAGGCCCGCCCTCCCGGGGTCCCCCGACCTGCAGAGAGACGCTGGCACCTCCAGCTGATTCCCCAAAGATGGTGATGTTGTTGGGGTCCCCCCCGAAGGCCGCAATGTTCCTCTTCACCCACGCGATGGCCATGTGCTGGTCCCGAAGGCCGTAGTTACCTGGGGCAGGTGGGGGAGCCCATCAGGGACTGGGGTGGGGGGAGAGCGTCCTCCATGTGGAGGCCCCTGTCAAGCCCCAGGATGGCGCAGGGCGGGTCCCCAGGAACCTGGTTGAATGAGGTGCTGGAGGGGGTGTGGGGCTCAGGTAGGGGACCAGGAGCAGGAGGGCCAGGCTGCTCATCTCTCTCCCTGACACCGTCCCTCTTGTCTGTCCCATGGCTCTGTGTCCCCCTAGTCACCACCTCAGTGTCTCATCTTCTGTCTCTCCCTGGGTCCCTGTCCCCGCTCCCTGGTGTCCCTGGGTCCCTGTCCCCGCTCCCTGGTGTCCCTGGGTCCCTGTCCCCGCTCCCTGGTGTCCCTGGGTCCCTGTCCCCGCTCCCTGGTGTCCCTGGGTCCCTGTCCCCGCTCCCTGGTGTCCCTGGGTCCCTGTCCCCGCTCCCTGGTGTCCCTGGGTCCCTGTCCCCGCTCCCTGGTGTCCCTGGGTCCCTGTCCCCGCTCCCTGGTGTCCCTGGGTCCCTGTCCCCGCTCCCTGGTGTCCCTGGGTCCCTGTCCCCGCTCCCTGGTGTCCCTGGGTCCCTGTCCCCGCTCCCTGGTGTCCCTGGGTCCCTGTCCCCGCTCCCTGGTGTCCCTGGGTCCCTGTCCCCGCTCCCTGGTGTCCCTGGGTCCCTGTCCCCGCTCCCTGGTGTCCCTGGGTCCCTGTCCCCGCTCCCTGGTGTCCCTGGGTCCCTGTCCCCGCTCCCTGGTGTCCCTGGGTCCCTGTCCCCGCTCCCTGGTGTCCCTGGGTCCCTGTCCCCGCTCCCTGGTGTCCCTGGGTCCCTGTCCCCGCTCCCTGGTGTCCCTGGGTCCCTGTCCCCGCTCCCTGGTGTCCCTGGGTCCCTGTCCCCGCTCCCTGGTGTCCCTGGGTCCCTGTCCCCGCTCCCTGGTGTCCCTGGGTCCCTGTCCCCGCTCCCTGGTGTCCCTGGGTCCCTGTCCCCGCTCCCTGGTGTCCCTGGGTCCCTGTCCCCGCTCCCTGGTGTCCCTGGGTCCCTGTCCCCGCTCCCTGGTGTCCCTGGGTCCCTGTCCCCGCTCCCTGGTGTCCCTGGGTCCCTGTCCCCGCTCCCTGGTGTCCCTGGGTCCCTGTCCCCGCTCCCTGGTGTCCCTGGGTCCCTGTCCCCGCTCCCTGGTGTCCCTGGGTCCCTGTCCCCGCTCCCTGGTGTCCCTGGGTCCCTGTCCCCGCTCCCTGGTGTCCCTGGGTCCCTGTCCCCGCTCCGGGACAGCGAAGGGGATGCCCTTGAAGATGTCCACAGAGCGGCCGCCGATGCCGAGGAAGCCGAGCTTCTTGTTGACGCCCTCCACGAAGCCCCCTTCCGTGTGCACCACGCCCAGCTGGGGAGAGGGCCAGGCTCAGGGGGCGCAGGCTGGGCAGCCAGTGGGGTGGGGCCACCCCTGCAGGCTCTAAGGGTCCAGGACAGCTTCCAGGTGGGGCCCCTAGTCTCACCCGCCTATAGCTGTGGGTTCCTGTGGAAGCCCCGCTCCTCACCCCATGGCAGGGCCCTGAGGAACGGGATCCTGTAGTTGCCCTGAGGCTCCCAGCTCCCCCTGGATGGGCCCTGGCCACTGGCAAGCAGGTGTGTGTCGCCCCTCTCAGGGGCTGGGGGCCAGGCTGCAGGTTGAACTAGATCGAGGTCCAGACTCCTGTTCCGACGCTGGGGGCTGTGATGGGCAACCTGCTGGCCTGCTCAGGGCCCAGCTCCCTTCTGTGCTGGGGCCATGGCCATCCCCGGACAGAGGCAGAGCTGGAGGGGGGGGCCGGGGGCCAGGCACCCGGTTGAACTAGACCGAGGTCCAGACTCCTGTTCCGACGCTGGGGGCTGTGATGGGCAACCTGCTGGGCTGCTCAGGGCCCAGCTCCCTTCTGTGCAGGGGCCATGGCCATCCCCGGACAGAGGCAGAGCCGGAGGGCCCTGGTGGCCAAGGCGGACTCCGCAAATCGGCACTGAGGACGCCAGTGACCCTGGGGTTTCGGGTACACGGTGCCTTGTTTGTGTTGGGCGTCAGTGCACCCTGTGTGCCCTGGAGAGCGCCTGTACCAGAACTTATTCGTGGTTTCTGATGTTCAAGTTCGCGGGCGTTCTGTATTTGAGCTGCGCCTGTGCCATCGTGTGAGCGCGGATGCAGGAGCAGAGGAAGGGCCAGGAAAGTGCCTGCTGGGTGTGGGCTCTCGGGGGCTCTTCCTGCCAGCGCCTCACCTGCCTGCCCCCCTTCATCCCCTACCCTCCCTACCTCCCATCCCCGGTGCCCGACCCAGTTCCCAGGCCGGGTTAGGGGAGCAGACAGGGGCCCCTCCTCGCCCGCTGGGCTCTCGCTTACCTTTGCTGCGCTCACTACTGCCAAGCAGCAGGTGAGGCCTAAGACAGCCAGCTCCAGGCGCCCCATGGTGCGTGTGCCTGCCTCGGGGCCCCTGCCTCTGAGCAGGGGTATTTATGGGGCGGGAGCCATCCGGGAGACATCCGGGAGCCGGGGCTGGCAGCTGCCTGTGGATGGTTCCCTTCCCCTCCCCTCCCTCTGCCCCTCCCTCCAGGCAGGATACCTGGGGCCAGGATAGCTGCAGTTCCAGCCAGGCTCAGGGCCAAGGTCATGCAGGTGTGGGGACACACACCCTCTCAGACACACACACACACATGCATAGCTGCCCTTTCCAGGCAGGTCAGGCAGGGCCAAGGTCACAGAGGTGCGCACACACACACACACACACACACACACACACACACGTGCACGGGTGCAGGGATGGTCCGAGTTGCCCATGATCTGCTGTTCACGGGTGCCTGGTTCCCTCAGTGCACCTGGGCTGGTAACTGGAAATAGTCAGGTGGCCCAGGCCAGGGGCTGAGGGTTGGGGCTCAGCTGGGTGCAATAGTGGCTCATTGACAAGGGCCTGGGCTCACCCTCAGAGAAGGGGACCTGCTTCCCTCCAGGCCCGGCCTGGCCCCCACCTTGAGCTCCGGAGCCCAGCAAAGGGAGTTCACAGGGCACTGGGCGTGTCGCCTCCGGACAGAGAGGGCTGTGTGCTCCTGGGCAGCCACGTGGCTGAGCCTGGGTCCGAGGGCCCCCGGGTGTGCAGTCCGAGCTGGGTGTGGGGACCCAGAGCAGCACAGGGCGGTCCTGCCCTCAGGGAGGGCACCCCTCACACTCAGCACCAGCAGCCCTGGAAGGCGGACTGGAGGCTCAGGTGGGCACAGGTGTGGAGGGAAGGGGGCTCCCACCCAGCCTGGTGGCTTCCCTGAGGAAGAGGAAGGGCCTGGCTTCAGAAGTGCACCACGACCTGGGGCATCAGAGAGAGATAGAGGGTGGGACAGACAGAGGGAGAGACAGAGAGACAGAGGGAGGGAGAGAGAGAGACAGACAGAGGGAGAGACAGAGATAATGGAGACACAGAGGCAGAGGGAGAGAAGTCTGAGCAGAGTGTGTGAGAGCAGAAAGGCAGCGTGTGGCTCGGGGAGGGTGTCTCACTTGGGAACCAGAGGAAGCTCCATGGACAAACCCAGGGCTCCACTCTTTGTGGAGCTGGCAGCACGGCCTTCTCCAGGGATGGGGGTGTGTTCAGGGCCCGGAGACAGCAGAGCCCTCCCAGGCCAGCGGCCCCTCGCCCAGGCCCTTCAGCCCTTCGCTACACAGGCCACAGCCCGGCTCACGTCACACCTGGGGCTGTGCCCAGCACCACATGGATCCACAGACACCGGCCACGCTGGCTGCCTGCTGATCCCGAAACCAGGTCTCCTGCGATGCAGGTGGGCAGAGGGAAGAAGGAGCCAGGCAGGCTGGGCCAGGTAGGTGGGGACTGGGGAGCAAAGAGTTTGAGGGGTGCATTTGTTAACAGCCCAAGTGCCCATCGGTAGATGAGTGGGTAAAAGCTGTGGTACATTTACACCATGGATTACTATGCAGCTGTAAAAAAGAAGGACCTCTTACCCGTTGAGACAGCCTGGAGGGACCTGGAGGCTATTATGCTGAGTGAAGTAAGCCAGTGGGAGAAAGACAAGTGTCACATGATCTCACTCATGTGGAATCTAATGAACCAAATAAACTGACAAAACAGAACCTTAGACATGGAAGCATGGAACAGAAGGACAGATCTCGGAGTGAAAGTGGAGGGAGGGCGGGAAGAGATGAATCCAGAACATTTGTTTGGGTCAGTGGTTTGGGTCAGTGGTTTGATCTGTGGACTGAAGGGTCCCAGTCCGGGGCAGGTGCCAGGGTGGTGGGCCTGATCCCCAGTAGAGTGTGTGTAGAAGGCAGCCAATCAATGGTTCTCTCTCATCATTGATGTTTCTGGCTCTCTCTCCCACTCCCTTCCTCTCTGAAATAAAAAAATATATATATTTTAAAAAGTAAAATAAACAAAATAGCCCGGCTGGTGTGGTTCAGTTGGCTGAGCGTCTTCCCATGCACCAACAGGTCGCCCTTCCCATTCCCAGTCATTGCACATGCAGGTCTCAATCCCCAGTAGGGGGCGTGCAGGAGGGAGCCAATCCATCTTATATAATACAGGCTAATATGGAAATTGTTCCCACGGGAGTTTGACCAACCAGGAGTTCGACCGCTGGCTATGATGTGCACTGACCACCAGGGAGCAGCGTGGAATGAAGGAAGGCCCGAGTCGGCAGCCAGCAGGCATGCAGGCACGGCTAATTTGCATACATAGGCGCAATGATGGGAGGCAAAAGGGGAAAGACAGAAGAAGGGTGGCAGACAAGAGCTGGCCCTCTGCACCCGCCCCCCAGCCAGTGATCGCCATTGGAAAGCCCGGCAGCAGGCCAGGCAACACCCCCGGCCTGGAGTGCCCATGATCGCCATGGCGATCGGAGGAAGAGAGAGCCGGGGTGCAGGACCCCCAGGGCCAGGGGTGCCGGCTGGCCTTCAGCCCCCTGATCTGCCATGGCGAAGGGAGGGGTGGGGCCCCAGGCACGGCGGCACCTCGGTCACCGGGTGCAGCTGTGCCTGCGGTCCCCTGATCTGC